GTCCAACACAACATTTAGGGTTTGGCTCTGCAGCTCAGCAAAGCCTGCCTGGTCTCGCTGAACGCTCGACTGCGCCTTCCTGCCCCAACAGAAGTGAGAGGGGTCGGGGCTTGGGGTTAAGGGTTTAGTGTTCAGGGTTTAGGTTTTGGGGTTTAGTGTTCAGGGTTTNNGTTTGGGTTTTAGGGTTTGGGTTTTTTTACGTTGACCCTAAAATCCCGAAGCCTTTAAACCTAATAGCATATTTTCCCAGGAAGCCCTCAGTTATCTTTCCCGGGAAGCCGTGGACGCAAGCAGTTCAGTCAGGAAGCTTAGGGGGTAAAGGCAGGGGGGTTATCCCTAAATAGGCATTATGAGGTCCTTCTTGCTGGTATTGTGGCCCCCTAAGCCCTGACCCACTAAGCCCTAAACCGCCCCCCNNCCCCCCCCCCCCCCCCCCCCACTTCCTCTTTCCGCCTCATGAAAAGGCCTGAGCAAGAAGCAGCTGGTCATGAACGTTTTCGAGTCTGCTGGGTGCTGAGTTCAACCGTTTGGGCTGTCGATTTTTGGTCTCGACGTCAGAATTTAGGGGTTCAGAGTTTAGGGTTGAGAGTTTGGGATATTCGAGGTTGGGATGTAAGGCTTCGGGCTTCAGGGGATTTGTGTTCAGGGCTTAAGGCTGAGCCACTTGCCGCCTTGCCGCAACCGTAACCTAAACCTCGGGTGAGATGATCGTCAGCAACTGAAGGCGAAAGTCTGTGGCTGCTTGGCAAATACATGGTGCACCCTTACCCATTCAAACCTGATCTGCCCACCCGACGCTCCACCTCAAACCGCTACATTCTACCCTAGCAGCACCCTTCTGGAAACATTATGATTAGAACCCTTGTAGAAGCTCTTACAGAAGCCCTCATAGAACCTAAACTTATGGAAGCACTTCTAGAACCCTTGTATATAGAACCCGTATAGAGATCCGCATAAAAAAAAACCCTTATAGAATCCCTTACAGAAACCCTTGTAGAATTCCTCATCGCACCCTACTCAGCTCCTCGAATAAGGTGTCGAAGTGGAAGGATGACCCGCGACTGATCAATGTGCCGTCCGTGTCTCGGAGGGTTCAGGGTCAGGGCTTATGAGGTTCAGGGTGTGGGTTTAGGTTTAGGGTTTAGGGTTTAGGGTTTAGGGTTTAGGATTCAGAAACTTAGAGTTCCTATAGGGGTTCCCTTGATGGGATATCGAAGTCGGTGTGACTGCATGGAGTTTACACTGGGACCTTGGACTTCGGGTTTGGGGCTCAGAGGCTGGACCCTACCTGTGGCCTAAAAGACCTGTCTATTTAAGGAAGTATATACAGAAGCCGTAGTAAGGGACCCTAAAAGGTACATCTTTTGCAGGTAGTTCGCACATCATAAACACTTTTCTTCCACGGAAGCTTTGCCATCCCGCCAGTTCCAGCCCTCGAAGTTGTAGGTTTTAGGGTTTAGGGTAGTTTAATTACGGAATGTCTAGGGTAAGAAGGAGAGATGAGACCCAGGAGGCCCTTGAGGAGCTTGCTGTTGCTACCTTCCCAAAAAGAGCCTCAAGGCCCTGAATCCCTGAACTTGAAACTCTTGAGGCGAACCCCAGCTGGAAGAAACCCAAAGCCCCAAGTTTAGGGTTTAGGGTTAGGGTTTAGGGTTTAGGGTTTAGGGTTTAGGGTTTAGGGTTTAGGGTTTAGGGTTTAGGGTCCCTAAGCCCCAAGTCCTGACCCCAAGCAGTAAACCTAAGCCCTAAAGACTTATTTGGACTCGGTTTTTGGCCCGGTGCCGCGTGCGCGCGATGAGACAAGTGCTCGGGGTTAGAGAATAAGGCTCCACCAAAGCTACAAGACTATAAGTGTTCTATGTGTCACGCTCAGGGTTACTATAAGGGTTACTACGCGGGCTCTCTAATTGGAACTTCTTGGGGTTCATTATACTCTAACCGTATGAGTTAACCCTAAGGAATAAGTCTGGTAACTATTCCTACCTCCTCCTACCCTCTGTTTGACCCTGAATACCTGGGGACCATCAGGGTACAAGAAGGGTTCTGCTTCTGGAACCCCAACCCGAACCCTGGACCCTGGTACTGTAGGGACCGGATAATTACCTACAATTTTGGGGGTTCCTTATTATATGTGTAGTATAATGGGCCCCAAAACCTTATTCTAATTATTAAGGCCACTATAGTCTTATTCTGAATCCTCACCGGCCCAGTCCCAAAGCTTGCAAGCTTTGTATCCGTCTGGTGTAGGGCTCTAGGCCTTAACTCAACTACCGTTTTTGGACTTTTTTTTTTGACATCATAGAAAGGACCCTAACCGTATAGGATTCTTGTTTGGTTAAAGCTATATAGAGCAAGGGTACTCTTTGGGGGTCGTTTTTGGGCTGTAGGGCCTCGCGAAAGGCTTTGGAGTTACAGCGTCGATGTTGTTTGCGAGGATGTTCAGGGTTTGGAGGGTGGGGTCTACGGGTTCAGGATGTTTTAGGAGTGGTTCAGACGCCAGAGAGCAGGCCCTAAACCCTAAACCCGAACCCTAAACCCTGAACAGAGTATTTTTGAAGAGGGATATTGTAGCCCCAGCACCTTGAACGCTGTAAGCCCTAAACCCGGAAGTTTCAGCCTCAAGCACTATCAAACCCTAAAAAGCCACAGGTCCGTGGGATGCATTATGGGAGTCGTTAACTGCGACATCTACTTTTGCCGCTCCGCCAATGAAGTTGTTTGAGGTTGAGGATCTTGGAGATTGGGCAATCGACAGACTCTCTAAACCTAAACTAGAAGCCTAAAGTAATTACCAATAGCATTCTTAGAGGTTCCTTATTGTAATCACAGTATAAGATACCCCGAAACCCTGTTCTAATTATNNAATTATTGAGGCCCCTACAGTAGACTCTAGATTCTGCCTGCATCCGCAAGCCCCAGACTTGTAGGCCATGCCCCTGCAGTTCTACTTAGCAGGGCTTAACCGATTAGACCATTGAATCATGAAGCACACGATTTTCAGCCCAGTCCGCATGCAGCCTCTTCCTCCTAGGGGCCAAGTACATAATAATCATACGCCCCCCCTCCAAATACTTATACTACCTTGAGCTACCAAAACCTGTTTGTTTCATAAACTTGCTATGGTAGTCTAGCATAGTCTACATTACTGCTACTATCATATTCCAAGCCGAAATACCCAATTATTACAGGGACTTTTGGACTTTGGGCTCTTAACTTTCAGGCTCTAGAAATGTGAGTCCCCTAAAAACCCCAAACCTTAAACCC